GCTTCACCGGAAGATTACGAGCTGGCTTATCTTTATCCGGAAGTTCTAAATAGAGCTCTGTGCATATGGTCAATTAAAAGACAAAATATTAATTGGACGAAGTACTGCTTGAAAAACTTTTTTCAGTGTACAAAAGTCATGTGTGGTCAGAAAACTAAGAAGTAAGCAGTTTTACATTTTTATGACCAGTTGTACTGTCAAAAAAGTAAATGAATACATTAACTGCCTGATGTATACCAACACCTTGTGGTGAACAATGGTGGTCAATTAATGTTTCTTTTAGTGTGTAATGTTACAGGGTCATGTGCAGAGGTGGACAGTAACTAAGTACATTTACTTGAGTATTGCACTTAAGTACACTTTTTGAGTATCTGTACTTTACTTGAGTATTATTTTTTCTGGAAACTTATGACTTTAACTTCACTACATTCAGGGTTTCGATCTCGATTCAATATCAATTAATATGTATTGTACATGTAAGGGGATACAAATCTTTTGTTGAATGCAGTTGAATGCCTTTTCAGCACCATTTTAAACTTTTCTTGTCTTAAATTCAATATTTGCTTGCATCCATTAATATTCACTTGCGTGTATACTTATACGAGTATCAATAAAAATTAAAAAAGAGTGTAAGTTATAAATAAATAAAAAAATAGTGTTTCACGTCTAAACATTTATTCAAATGCAAAACTTAAGAATAAGTAAGCAGGTATAACCTGCAAAATACTCTTTTGAGAAATAGATACATGTATATTTATTAAAGAGCCATATGTACCTAGTGGGTAAAACATGGCATTACAAATGAAAATGATTTTTTTTTCTGAGCACAAAATGACTCTAATTCGCCTCTTTGCATTGGAATTTAAAACCATTTATTCTATTTTAACCTTAAATACTACACAAATTGTAATATAAGTAATAGAAATAAAAAATATTTTAAGTGGTCATTAATGGACCATAATTATTGCACATATAGTATTTAGTACCAAAAGATCTCCTCAAAATATTAAATAAATAT